TTGATGATCTATAATCTGGAGAAACTGATAATCCGGAATCGCCGAATCCCGATGAGTCCAGATTAAAGACTTTTGACTGTAAATCATTTGCTAACTTTAAGAACTATCACAGGCAAATGGAAAAATTGACAAACAGATGTAAGTATGATCAGTATATCAGTACAGATGATCAGTATATGCACCGATAATGGGGTGAATTCCGTAGAAAGGGAGATATATAACTGCCTACCCTTTTTTTGTGTGAGTATACTATGACCCCCGACCCTAATTACCCCATGATAATTATTTTGTTGGCTTAATGGTGGATTATTAAAATCTTTAAACTGGAAATAAATGGAGTAATAAATAAAAGTGAGCACTGGTTCAATAATTTTGTTAAAGGGCAATGATCTCCTTCCCTTTTGTAAACATAAAATAATTCACTTTTGTATACCATCCTAAAAATACATATCCCTAAGTAGTATGAATTAATACTAAACATAATTATTAATAAGTTTGAGAATAAATAAACTGTATGCAATTTATCATGTAGCATTTAATATTTTACATATATAATAGTTGGACATATTTGAAATAATATAAGTGACATTTACGTTTTACTAACAGTTAGCTTTATGTTGATTTTTTTATGTCCCATTTTATCACGTACTTGATCAATCTAGAGGTTTAGTAAGTAGCAGGTAGATTTTTATGTCAAACAGCATAGGTTAAAATGAAAAGTAAGATCATAATTAGCATGATTCTTAACAAAAGACAATGTTGTCACCACTGCTGCTTGTCTAGAGAGAGATCTGCTGATTAGAACTAACCTCAAAGGCCTGATGTAGGCACAGTTGGCAAGTGTTTGCAAGTTAGTCAGGCTCTGTTTGATGCAGTTAGTGTAGTAGTTTCATGTAGAGTTCCAGAGGTTGTAACACAGTTAATATACATTAAGGTTCCAATAAGCCATTAAAGCCCCAAAGGTGATAAGTTGTTTTGTATTGTTTTAAGTCTCACTGGATTGATTAATCTTGTGACCACAGTGAGTATTAATGAAAGGCAATAACTCGCTTTAATATGTAGAGATAATTTTTAAGGGTAAGCAGTTAGTTTAAATAATTAAATTAGGTAGTTAGATAACCTTAGTCATTATGGATTCACATAGCCCCTACTAAATTTTATTTTTTAACAATATTGATAAAAAAGCCCTATTAAAATCAAAAGCTAATAAAATTTCACAGGTTAAAATACATGTAATTTCTGACATTGGTTCTTAAACGATATTAGGATAATTACACATCAAAAGCTACCAAATATTTATGTTTTGTAACAACACTCAACAAAATATTTATTCGTCATTTTAATTTGAAGCCTTCCCAAACATTTTGGCTAGTTTATATCGATTTCCTTCTCTTTAAGCATCTTTTATAACAATTGAATATTTGTCTCAATATGCAAACCAATGCTCTCACTAAGTTTCTGCTTTATCTTCTAACTTGTCAACCTCTCTACAATATACCTACGAGGGTTTACTTGATCTGGTAAAAGTCAAATAGTACAAAACCCCTGACAGATGTGAAGCAAATTATCACTATGTCTGAAAGTAACTGCAATATCAGACAAAGGTTTAAATAAGCCTCTTATTTAAAAAGAACTTAGAACATAGAGGCATGTTCTGATGCCAACGAAATCAATTACAGCTCATGGTGACACAATTAAACAAAAGCAGTAAAATTCAAACTAAAAATGTGGACTAGTGGTCAAGGATATACGAAATTATAGAAATGGGAAATTATAGTAACGGCTGAAATCATAAACAATTGGGTATTACATAACAATAACTGCACATATCTTTGCAGAATAAATTTTTTTATATGTTCAGTTTCTTTCTTCAACATGTTTCCTTTTCATTTTAGAATTTTTGGATTTAATTAAGGATTTCTGTCATTCTAAAAAACACTAAATGCATTTAGAATGTATAGAAAAGCGGCTAACTTTATTTTAGTAATATGAGCATTCAAAAGAAATATGAAATATATATGGTAAAGGCCAGTTACAGACTGGTGTGGCAGAATTTTTAGAATTTAGTGACACACCGAACAACAAAATCTAGAAATGGCAAAACTTTTACAATTTAGAGCAGGCATTGGTAGCAGAATTTAGAAAGACACTAGGCAGCAAAATTTAGGATCCACAGAAGGAAAATGCCTAGTGCCACACAGGTGAGAAAATGCCTAGTGTCAGCTCTGTGTATGATGCATTATGACATATTAGATGAATCTTATAAACTGTCAGTTTTCAATTTGTTTATTAATAAAAAAATACCTTTCTATAATGAATGCCCATGTGATAAGACCAGAAGCATTTTTGATATTTTTCATGCTTGTGTCTAGTGAAAAGTAGAGAAAATAAAGGGAAGATACACATTAAGAAAAAGATTCTAGTATCAGGAGTAAAACATTCAACTATTATGTTTTCATTGTTCTTCCACACGTTCTCCAAAAATTAAGAAATTCATTGCAAACGTTCTGTAAAATACATACATTACGTGTTGATACCATGCAGACATTTTTCCTTTTGTCACATATTTCTCGAATCTTCTAGAATCGTGGGTCTATAAATCTTGCTTTCAAATCCTGCTAAACTTTCCAAGCTGCAATGTCTAAAATCCTAAAGAAAAATTATACCAACCAATTCTGTAACAGCAAAAAGCCAGAAATATTTTGGAAAAAATGGAGGGGAAAAGTGTAAAATTAATTTTATAGAGAAAACTGATGCATATTCTGAGAATTTTTAATATTCTGAGACAAATTACATGGGAAAAACTCTTACTATGAAAAAATTAAAAAGAAGACATTTTTAATTAATTATATAGCTAATTTTGCTTTTGCTAAGATCTGTTTCATAAATTGTGCTTTATAGCATTATACCTTGTTTATTTTTCAGATTCAAAATACTGTATAATAAGTTGCCAAAAATGAAACTTTATAATATGACAGCGAAAAATAAAATGTTTTATTTTAATGTTATTTTTTAAATATAATTTCAATATATTACCATTATTTTAATGAAATTTATCAATGGTATGATGATGTTTAAAAAAAAGTCATCCAAAAATTCCCAGATCTCGAAATTAAAATTTTTCTATAGAAACTGATCTTAAAATCGCCAACATGTTGATAAGTTGCTTAATTTAAAACCGTTTAATAAAAGAATTCACATCCCCAAAAGCCAAAAGTTGTTTAAGAGCTCTTTATTAGAAAAAATGAATTTCAAAATGCTTATATTTCACTTCTTGCTTAGAAACTCGAGTATCCCATCATTTATATTAGAAATCGAAACAAATTATAACCTATGAACCCATTCAAAAGATAACCATATATGTCAGTTGAATAGCTAAAAAGTATTCCTCCAAAATGCTAATTCATACTCAAAATGGCAGTCGTAAAAACAAATAGAAATTTCAGATGATTAAAATTAAGGACCTTCTGCTGATTTGGGCCAAAATTAAGGACTTTAAAGAACCAAAAATTGATTCCAAAAAACCTAAGGCTTCTTAAGGACCGTACGAACCCTGATTAACAGCCAATGGGAAGATTCAGGAAATAACTGCTGGACCAGATAGTCGAGTATGAACAGTTCTTGTGAAAACTATTCAAAGTATTTTTCAATAAAGAATCTCACACATATGTTTATTGCCATGTAATTAAAATTCAATTACATGCATTTAATTAATGGCTTATTCAATTGTTCAGAATTTAGTTTACATAATGATTTAAATAAAGCGTAATATTTCCTGTAAACTGGGCATTAAAATTAAAGTCTGTGTAACTGTAATTTTAATGCCCAGTTTTGTATAGCTTGATTATTATTTATAATTGCAATTATATTTCTATATGAATTATGATGTTAAAGCCATCTGTATCACCTATCACCTGCTTGCTAATGTTTCCATAATAACTGTTTAACCATCCTTTATTTGTTATTGAGCTTGTCATCAATAGCCACTTGCAACATGCCAAGTGCACTGCCATCATAACTGCTTCAATTTCGAGGGTTAATATATTTGCATACAATTTTTATGTTTTGCATACAAGTTCAGTTTTCTGTTAATTCATTTATTTTTTAATTAATTAAAATGCTGATTGCCTTTCATTAGTTTGTTTATTTTTTAAATTATTTTTGTCTTTTTTCACTTCATCTGGAATATTTTAAGTTTATAATATACTTCCATTTTATACCAGTTTACTAATCAATGATTTTTCCTTTCAAGTATCTACCCGACTGAAAAATTATTTTTTCCTCCAATTAATTTTAATTATTTTTGTCTTTTTACACTTCATCTGGATTATTTTAAGCATATAATATACTTTAATTTCATATCAGTTTACTAATCAATGACTTTTCCTTTCAAGTATTTACTCAGCTGAAAAATTATTTTTTTCCTTCCAATGAGAATGCATGCTAAATTTTATACAGCCATTTTTTTAAAATTAATTTAAAAATTGTTACCCATTTTGATTATCTAATATGTAGAATCTACAACATTCTAGGCACAAATAACTTAATTAAATATATATAAAAAATATGAAAATATGTATATTCTGGTAAACAAAATAAATACGGAGCAAAAAACAAAAATATTTTAACTGCAATTTTCAATAAATTTTACGCTCATCAAAACAGAAGCTCTAAGACCTTTCACGCAGTTTCTCTCTCCAGCTTCTCCCCTCCCCACTTTCATTTCATTTAATCTGGGGAGAGATGGAAAGAGAGGAGCTGGAGTAAAAGGTTTGAACCAAGTAGAATGATAAATTTTCGAATTCCATCCATCTATTACACATCATATTTGTATGCTAACAACATCACTAAATATTTCGACTATGATTGGTGCCTTCTCTCATATATATATATATATATATATATATATATAGAGAGAGAGAGAGATAGAGAGATAGAGAGAGAGAGAGAAGCGTGTGTGTGTGTTAAATATTATGACTTTTTTTTATAAAATTTCTTACCTATATGCATACATGTTATGTGTTGCAATAGCTATTTTCCTATTTTCTTTTAATTTGTCTAAAACCTGCTTTACCTAATAAAAAATTACATAGTATTAGTTTTTTTTAAAAGTAATGCATTGTGTAGAAAATGATATATTTATCAGTTTGGACAGAAAGGAAAAATAATTAATTTATTTGATATACATATATTTTTACCTGCTTGGTTGACACTACTCTAGCAACATGAGCTTGGAATACGCTTTTACGATCAATAATTGGTTCACCATGTTCTATAGTTGGCAATTCATCAAATTCAATATCTGTTCGCATACAGAAAATAATTTTAGTCAGTAAAGTATACAGCATAAATTTAAAAAAAAAAAAAAAAAAAAAAAAAAAAGTTATTCTCAGATCAACTAATTATATATAGTCTATGTATAAGATATATAAAGAAATTTCTCCAAATTGTAAAAAAAAATGCAAGCAATTAAAAACATCCAACCTTGAGGATGGAGATGATAAGCAAGCCATGTGAATTAATGTACATGGCATGCAAGCATAATATCCATAAATAAAATAGAAATATCATCAAAAATGAAAGAAATTCATTTGTAACCATGTCTGTGTAAAAGTAATGCATTCTGTACTCAAGGAGATGCTACATTCACTTTTACAAAGCTCCACATGTTCACTTTACCAAGAAAAGGGTTATAATTGGGGATGCTCATTTTAAAATAAAAGAAGTACATGCAGACATTCCTCTGTACTGTACATGCAGACATTCCTCTGTACACACTAAAGACTCGCATATTCAATAAAATGTCTCTTATTGCCTTTACACTTCTAACTTAACACAACTACTGATACAATTTTATATAGCTTTTACTGGATATAAATACTGAAATAGGAGTTAATAGCAAAAAATTATACATTATAAACTTTTCTAAAGTTATTATAAAGTTATATTTTGGTTACTATCAATGAAACTTCTTTCAAAAGAAATTAATTGTAGTAGTATGCAGGTATATGCTTCAGTTACATATTATTTGAAGGCAATTAAAAAAAAAGGAAAAAAGAAAATTACACATAACATCACATAACAGCTATACTTGGCACTATTTTGAATATAATACTTGCATATTTAAATGATAACATTGTTTAATTTCCATGTAAATAAAATTCATAATAATCAATGTCAAAGGATAATTCCAGAAGCTTACCATATAATGAAATTAAATTCTGAAATACATTCAAAATGCATTTTCCATATGCTCATTCCAATTTGTAATCAATTATTGTTATGTCATTTTTAATTATAAGGGAAATTAAAATTTCTTATTTATTTAAATTTTTAATTGGAAGGATTGGTTTCTAACTGCTTACATAAATTTGTAAAAGCAAATAACAATTATATTACTTGCTTGAAGTTTAAGCAAAGAACATGAGAGACCATTCTAGAAGAAGGAAGAGTTCGAAATAATGATTTCAAAAGTTTTCCTGTTTTGGTGATGGAGAATGTGTAATCCCCATCTAATGAATACAGAACTTTTGAAAATGAGGAGAGGATTCCCTTTCAAAGTAAAGGACCTTTTTTCTTTTACCTTGGTAAAGTGGCTGTGAAGGAAGCCTATTACCTTATTTAGATATCCAGTGATAACGACAAAATCCAGTGATGAATAAATTCCCTTAGCCTGGTTGCTGAAAAAAAGAGTGGACTGTGGAGGAACAGCAGCAGTTTTGTAAAGACGAGGTGGAGAAATCGAAATGGTTGGGATGGAGTAACAACCCCAAATACTCCCTTTTCTATGAGATGATCAGAGAAAAGAAGCAACAGCAAAAAGGAGGTGGGTGTTTTTGAAGGAGAGTGCCAGACACATGCCCTGCAGTAAAATGGAAAAGGGAGCTTGAGCTGAGTTGGGAAAAAAATTTACCCACCCCGCAATCTGACCTAACAGTTTTTTACAGGACCAATCAATTCCTTCCTCAGTGAACAACAATAAATTTCTGACAGAATGAAACTCTGGAAAAGAAGTTTTTGTGCACCCTCATCATGAATCATTCTACTCTCCAATACTAGAAATGAATTCAAAGTTAATACAAAGTTTCAACTTCTTCATCGAGATTAGGATCCACTCTCTGTTGCACCATTCTCTGTGTTACATGTAATGAACTGTACTTCCTTCTCAAGAAGGACTTTCTTGAAAGTCTGCAAAAATTTATGCTTGATTTGATACGCAGAAATTTATGCTAATATTTTTCTTAAAATGATTTCAGTTTATTTGAAAACTACAACTTGTAATTTCATTTGTTTGGTAAGTTATCTTGCATATTTGATAAGTAATCTATGTTGTTAAATTTAACATTTACCACTATCAAACACACTAAAACAAAAGAACCTTAAACCATTTAAGTGACGTATTTCTTTTGAAGATCAACTGATAGGTTGTTCAGTTTTATTCTAAGTAAGGCTCACATTTTATTTGGATATATATTTATGTACTAACTACTACTATGAAAATTTCATGATCCTTATTTGATTCAGTGAATATAATTTTTTAATCAGCACATGATAATTTTCTCTATAACATTATTACAGAAAAAACATATTTTATACTTGTTTGATCATGGCTATTTTGATAGCATTAAATAATGAAAAAAAAAAAAAAAAAAAAACTTTTCAAAACAGCAATGAAATTTAATTTAATATAAAAACTCAAGGAATATATAAATAAGTAAGCTCACAGCATTTTAATTATGAAAATGCAAAAGTGTATTTATGGACTGTTCACACCATTTCTGGACATTGTTTGACTAATGGCAGTACTCCTAATCTTAACATTCAGATGACAATCCTCAACGAAAGAGAATTTGCAAATTTAAAATCAGGAAAAAAAGCAACCTTAGTTGGACATAGATATTTTTAAAGAAATTTTATTTCATGGAAGAAAAAACTCCATAAACTTTTTTTTTTTTTTTTTTTTTTTAAACTCCTGACGAAGAGGGATCTATGTCTAATCACTCTCAAAATGGAGAAGATTAATCAAAATCTACATCAAATTAAATTTCCTTTGGTTCCCCCCCCCTATGCATAGTTTGAAATGGGTGACTAAAAAAAAAAAAAAAAAAGTTTGTCAACTTAATTCCTTATTTGGTGACATTTCTCTGGCAAATTTTACTATTGACTTTTAAACTTATTTTGAAACTTTGCTTCAGTTTAAGTAACATATTCTATAAAATATTTTAACTTGTTTGCCTGTGGCTAAGCTTCAACAGAAAAATACACAACTATATGTGGCACACAAAGTTCAATAATTCTTCATTGCCCACTAGCTCACACTGCTATCCCTGTTCATTATGCCACCTATAGAAGATGTCTGCTTGGTGATTGCCAAATAAGTGGCCCAGCATATAGCACAAGTGTTTATGCCAGTTGAAGTTTGGCAATATGTAGAAATACTATTGACTGGCATGCTCCAATCATATAAGCTTCTTTCTTTCAATGTCAAGGAGTGCCACATTATTGCCAGCCATGGCAGCTGCATAAAATGCTTATTTTTTTGTGGCCCACAAATTGAATAGGGCAGAATTTTAATCAGTTCATTCTTTACTTGACATTATTTATCCAGTAAATATAAGTTCAATATCTCTTGTTCTTCACCATGTGGTATTCTAAAAGGCCAGTAGTTTACAGTTTAAAAAAATGAATCTGGCAGATTCTAAAAATTTATGAAAATGGTTTAGTTAACATTATTATATACAGATTTAGTTAACATTATTATATGCAGATTTAGTTAACATTATTATAACTGGAATACTTTCAACACATATTGAATTTTAAATATATCAGTCTATATAGCATTCCAATCAAATACTCAAGTAAACATTTAGTATTTTTTATTAAATGCTGCAATAACATAATATCAGCATTGAATGGTTTAACTTTTTATGTTCATACTGTATGTGTCAAAGTATCAATCCTAGACTGTTGTCCATGCATATGCAAATTAAAACTGGCCGACTTGTTGTAAAGATATTTTTACAGATTTTTTATATGTTGATAATCACTTCACTGCCCTTAAATTTGGCTACACATGTGCTGTGCACCATCTTGCCCAAACTAAAACTGGCTCAGATGTTTCACATACAATCACTGTATAAATTTTCAGATCCACATAAAAAAAAAGTTAGAAACATACTATTAACCTGTTGCAACATAGCTGTTGCGAGGCATATATCAGCATCATTCATACTGGATACATCATTTACTGCATCATCACTGGTAGCAGTAGCTGTTTCACTGTTGATGAATTCTCGAATTTTTTCAATCCAAAGATAGATTATACTTTCACCAGCATGACAACTGTGAATTAAAAAAAAAAGAGAATTCATATTTCAAATACATGTACAAAAAGGACTAGGATTAGGATTATTCAATTATGGTAAAGCACACTAGGGCTATCTGCCTAAAGGGAAGATGCCTTCGTGGAGGACTTTCTAAGGGAAACTGGCTCGTATACACGTTACGCATGGGGAAAACCATGAAAACGCCCATGTAGCCAGCCTGTTCGCGGGATTCGAACCTCGGACCGAACTACATGTGTTCAGCGTCTTTACCGCTCGGCCGCTGGTGGGCCTGTACAAAAAGGAAAAGAACGAGATCACACTCAATATATTTCATTCTTTATCAGAACAAAATTCATATTACATTTCTCAGTGGAACTGATGACCACAACTTGAGGTCATCAGTTCCACTGATGACTGAACGTGGTAACAGAAACAATTTTCACGATACAATGCGTGATGGAAAGTGAACACAGAAACAATGTAAGTACGAAGAACATGGAGAAAGAAAATTTGTTTTAATCAAATACTAACAATAAATAATACAGAAGCTGTTTGCAGATTTTTTACATGATTTTCATTGTATTTACAGAAATATTTTACCTAAAATTTTTGTGTTTTAAATGCTCTATTTGAGAACCCTTATTCTTCACAATCTTTCTACACCATAATTTTTAAGACAATAAAGCTGTTCCTAGCAGCAGAAGAGGTATTTTACCACATTCCTCTTGAACAGCTTTCCAAAGTCCAAGGAGTGCTGTAGATCGATGTTTGCACAATCCACTTTTTAAAAGTGCAAATATCCATGTGGGTAATTATCAGGTGATTTTGTAGGGGTACAAGTGAAGGATATAACCATGATACCCATTTCTTGTTCAATTTTTTCCAGGAAATTATTTTAATTCCAGAAAAAAATGTCCAGTGGATTTTTGACGTGTGGCTGCTTGTTTTGTCTTGGTGCAGTTCTACTGATTGATGGCACCATGGTTAAAGAGAAGGTAGTTCATATTTGAAAATTAGGTATAAAATATGTTTCTGATAATATGTGAGTTGACCTTAACAGTTTTCTCCACTCTCTTTAATTTTTATTTGTCATTATATCAAAAACCAACAACAATTAGAAAACCCTTTGAAAAACTTTCTTTAGAGTCTTTGGACCAGTTTGAAGATTTTTTTCTCCTCTTTGATGATAATAAATGGATTACTTTTCATTGTATCATTGAAACACATCGAAGATTCATCTGTTGTGGCAATATTTTCCTATTTTTGTCCTGACAAAAGTTTCTCATGAAGAATTATGCAGCGCGTCCTGTGTTCAGTGCTATGTCATGTAAAAACATGATACATATTATATTGTTACGAAATGTCCAGGTGCTGTAAGATGGCTTTCCCGCAAAGCAGGTTTAGGGTTCCCAGAAAATGGCAAGATAAGGCAGGGTTGCCACATTTGGCGAGAAATTGCCGATTTGGCAACAAAATTGGCGATATGACATGGACAGATGTAGAATCTTCTGGAACGAATTCTTAAAGGTTTAGCCCAGAATGTTCTCGAACACAAGCGGAAAGCTATATACTGAAGTGACAAAAGTCATGGGATACCTCCTAATATTTTTTCGGTCCTCCTTTTGCCCCGCGAAGTGCAGCAACTCGACGTGGCATGGACTCAACAAGTCGTTGGAAGTCCCCTGCAGGAATATTGAGCCATGCTGCTTCTACAGACGTCCATAATTGTGAAAGTGTTGACGGTGCAGGGTTTTGGGCACGAACTGACCTCTCGATGATGTCCCATAAATGTTCGATGGGATTCATGTCGGGCGATCTAGGTGGCCAGATCATTTGCTGGAATTGTACAGAATGTTCTTCTAACAAATCGCGAACAATTGTGGCCCGGTGACATGGCGCATTGTCATCCATAAAAATCCCATCGTTGTTCGAGTATGTGAAGTCCACGAATGGCTGTAAGTAATCTCCAAGTAGCTGAAAGTATCCATTTCCAGTCAATGATCGGTTCAGTTGCACCAGAGGACCGAGTCCATGCCATGTAAAAACAGCCCAGACTATTATGGAACCACCACCAGCTTGAACAGTGCCTTGTTGACAACTTGGGTCCATGGCTTCTTGGCGTCTGCGCCACACTCGAACCCTACCATCAGCTCTTACCAACTGAAATCATGACTCATCTGACCAAGCCACAGTTTTCCATTCATTTAGGGGCCAACTGATATGCTCACGAGCCCACGAGAGTCGCTGCAGGCGATGTCGTGCTGTCAGTAAAGGCACTCGAGTCGGTCTTCTGCTGGCATAGCCCAAGGAAGACAAATTTCACTGCACTATCCTATCGGGCAAGTCCCACATTGATTTCTGTGGTTATTTGACGCAGTGTTGTTTGTCTGTGAACATTGACAACTCTACGCAGACGTCGCTGGTCTCGGTCGTTAAGTGCAGGTGGTCGGCCACTGTGCTGTCCATGGTGGGATGTTATGCCTGAAATTAGATACTCTCGCGGCACACTCTTGACACCGTGGATCTCGGAATGTTGAATTCCCTAATGATATCCGAAATGGAATGACATATGCGTCTAGCTCCAACTACCATTCCGCGTTCAAAGTCTGTTAATTCTCATCGTGCAGCTATAATCACGTCAAAGCCTCTTCACATGAATAACTTGAACACAAATGAAAGCCCTGCCAAAGCACTTCACATTTATAAATTTTCTACGCGATACTACTGCCATCTGTATATTTGCATATTGCTATCCCATGACTTTTGTCACTTCAGTGTATAAACCCTGCTGGTTCACAGTCGGTTAGTGTGTAAGTGCCTCAGCTAGCGAACTGATAGTTAGTATCGAGTTGGTGTCACGTCTAGCGAGTCAATCAAGTTGACAGCCGGGCAGCGAGTGCCGAGTGGGTCGTCGAGTGCACTGAAAGAGTCCCGTAGTGTATCACGGTTAGTGCATCGTTGAGAGATCGTGTTGAGCTCTGGGAACGACTGAACCGAAGAGTGTGGAGCTGTGCTCTGCGTGTTGTCGAGTGCATCGCGAGTTGTAGTGTGGAGAGTCTTGAGAGTACGTGGAGTTCTGAGAACAACCAAGCAGAGTTGAGAGCTGTACTCTAGTGCTTTGCCGTGAAGCTGTCTTCACCATGATAGACTGATAACCTGGAGGTTGTGTTCTTGATCGTATCAGCATGTTTATAGTAGTTCATCGACGACTGTAAAAATGTATTTTGGAGCTGTCCTGATTAATAATGGTAAATAAGTGTTTCAATACTTCATCAAGTGTCATCATTATTCACTCCAAATTGACATGAACCCTGTACGAACGTGAAGGAAGAAAATAACGTAACAACTGGTGTCAGAAAAGAGAATGCAACAACTGGTGTCAGAAGTGGGATTTGCGAGTGAATGTCAGTGATCCCCGTGCTGAGAAAAGCCATGGTAGAGGAAACGAAGACTTTGATGGACTTCTTAGCCAAGATAAAAGGCGGATATCAAGAAATGAGAGCTCAAATGAGAGCCGGATATCAAGAGATGAGAGCTGAAATGAATCAAGCCGGATATCAAGAGATAAAGGCTGAGTTGAAAGCTGGCCTGGAAGAGATCAAAGCCAGACTGAAGGAGATGAAAGCTACACTGGAAGAGAAGAACACTGGACAAGAAGAAATAAATGTCGGCCAAGAAAAGTTGCGAAAGCAACTCCCACAGATGAAAGTGGAGCTTACAGAAGAAACTAGAACCATAAAAAGATGATGTAGAAATGATTGAAGTGGCATCTGAAGTATCAAAGGATGAAGAAATAAGGGAAGTAGCAAATGAACTGTCTGAGGAAGATCAAGAAATGAAGGATGAAACATTTAATGGGATTAAAGGAAAAGAACGAAAACATGAAGAAATAAAAGACGGAAACGAAGCTTTTGATTCTCAAGTGCCTGAAGTGGAAGAAAATGAAAATGCGACTGTTAAGTTCATCAAAATTGATAGTGAAATTATCAAGCCGCAGTTAGCAAGTATTGAAACATCTGAAAGGTCACGTGATGCTGAGATGGAAGAAGCTGATGTACAACTTACGCAGAGTGCCCCAGTATTGCGAGAAAATTCACTCATTTCGCAAACTAGGTATGTGCCTCATAGTGCAGGTTGTGCAGACAAGAACTTAAACCAGGATGCTTCTGTTTGTAAAGAATCGGGTTCTATTCATGACTCTAATGCATAATTTGGAGCTGGTTCTCAGGAAATGGAAGAAAATGTCCATGTACCAGCTGGTGAAAATACCGAGAAGAACTGTACACATGATGCGAGTAAACTTGAGTGGTGAACAAAATGTTTCAGATCTTTCTATGGATAAAAAGTCTCAAAGGACTGAATCTTCAGGCTGTGATATGCAAAATAGAAATGCGTCTGAGAACTGCAATGGAAAAGTGTTTGACCCGGGTATATTTTAATGAAAAGACTGAGACTGAAATTCATTCTCAACCTTAATTTGTATAATTTAAAATTGTGATGTGTTTAATATGAGTATGTAACTTGTACATAGTGTAAATATCTGTTTTTTTTTTTTTTTTTAGTTATGTTATTTATTTATACCTTATGTTTGTTTCATTATGTTTTGTTTGTATCGAATTAGACATCTGACCAAGGTTTGTACTGCCCGCGATGTGCAGTCCTTGGGAGGAGGTAGTGTTACGAAATGTCCAGGCACTGTAAGATGACTTTCCCTCAAAGCAGTTTAGGGTTGCCATAAAATGGCAAGATAAGGCAGGGCTGTCACATTTAGCGAGAAATTGCCCACTTGGCGACAAAATTGGCGATATGACATGGACGGATGGAGAATCTTCTGGAACGAATTCTTAACGGTTTAGCCCAGAATGTGCTCGAACACAAGCTGAAAGCTATATAAACCCTGCTGTTCCGCAGTCAGTTAGTGTGTAAGTGCCTTGGCTAGCAAGCTGATAGTCAGTATCAAGTTGGTGTCTCATCTAGCAAGTCGATCCCTGCAAGGTTGATCCAGTTGACAGCCGGTCAGTGAGTGCCGAGTGGGTCGTCGAATGCACCAAAAGAATCTCGTAGTGTATCGCAGTTAGTGCATCGTCGAGAGAGTGTGTTGAGCTCCGGGAACGACTGAATCGAAGAGTCGGGAGCTGTGCTCTGTGTGTTGTCGAGTGCATCGCGAGTTGTAGTGTGGAGAGTCTCGAGAGTACATGGAGTTTCGAGAACGACCAAGTAGAGTCGGGAGCTGTACTCTAGTGCTTTGCTGTGAAGCCGTCTCCACCATGATAGCCTGATAACCTGGAGGCTGTGTCGCTGATCGTGTCAGCGTGTTTATAGTAGTTTATCGACGACTGTAAAAATGTATTTTGGAGCTGTCCTGATTAATATTGGTAAATAAAGTGTGTTTCGATACTTCATCAAGTGTCGTTGTTATTCACTCCAAATCGACACGAACCACATACAAACTTGAAGGAAGAAAATAACGTAACAACTGGTATCAGAAAAGAGAAACACAATATTTTTTCATCCTCTTCAGATTCTAATAGACATTGATTACTCTGTTTCCAGTTGGCATTACGCATTTTAATGATTTTGCAATGCTCCTTTGACTTTGCTGATTTTGTTTTAACATTAAGGACATTTAACACCTTTGCAACATTTGAAACAGTCTGTTTTTTTTTCTTTCTTTCTTGTCTTTGGAAAAATTTTTCTCCTCGAAGGCAAACATTGATGTTTTTTCCTTTCTTGTTGACAGTATTACCTATTGTAGCTTTATATATCGAAAAACCATGGTGTTCACAGCATTTTTAATAACTAGATATGAATAACTTTCTTTGAAAAGAGCATAAACATAGCCTTCCATCCACTGCCTCTTTAGGGACATTTTGCATGAAAACAAAACTGTCAAGTAGCAGACGATAATTTATACTTTCAAAAATATAGTTTCAGTTTCAAAAAATCCATACAGAAGATTTTTTGTTTTACAGCAAAGCAAATTCTTCTAAAAAATGTGCAAACAGCCTCTGTATTTGATATTTACAACACTTGTCCAAACAACTGAGCACCCTACTATAATACATGCATCACAATGATGATGAGGTGTTGCCATACATTATGGAAGACACTCATCATGTCACGTATTTCTGTGGCAGTAACACTAATTCCAGCGGCAAAGTTTTCAGAAGGGTCAACCTGCATCTAGTAAACAAGATCTGCTGTTGTAGTGATGCATGTATTGCAACTGCTAATCATTCATTTGAACAATTCTTGTAAATATCAAATATTATTTTTTGTAAATATCAGTAATTAAAATAATTCTTTGTTTTACAGGTTTTTCATACTTACTGTGTTTCTAAAGCCACATTTTACATCCCATTATACACTATATTACAAAAATTATTATTTCTGCCATGCTCTATCACACATTAAAGTTGTTAACATTAACTCTGTTACGTCCCGTGTGTGCGAGTGTGTAATGATTAAATAATGGGTTTTAATGAAAGTTTCCCGCCACTGCAAATATTGTCTGCACAAATAGTTCTCGTTGGCGTGTTTAATAATATTTTGTCAAATGATTTTTGGCATTGGAAAGAAACAGATTTGCTTAAGAACACTGTGTTGTGAAATTTGTAAATAAATATCGTTATCATTAAGTACAAGGTGTCTGATATAGAACTATCATGCTACCGGATTAGAACCACCATTAACTTCCAGTTCTATTGTAAAACGTCAGCTACAGAATGTCACCAAATCATGTGTACAGCTCCAGGTACTAATGTTGTATCATATGACACAGTGAAGGTTTTGTACCAAAAGTTCAAGAACAAGAACTATGGCATTCAAGAAGCAGAGCACTCTGGCAGACCTACTGATGTTGATGAAACCCGCCTGCGAGAACATGGCCATTGATGAAGCCTGCCATGTGGAAGAAAATCAGTATGCAACCCTTTGAAAGCTTGTTAAGGAATTAGACGTTAGTGCCATGTCCATTAGTCATGCTACACACCACATAGCCCTCACATCGCTCCGACTTCTATCCTTTTTCCCACCTGCAGCTACATCTTACTGGTGCTATCTTCCATTCTGCACAGGACATATGAAATTAGGTTGACCTGTTTATGGACTCACGGTCACCAAGTTTTGGGGCTGAAGGCTTTGAAAAACTACCAAAACATTGGCAGAAAATCATACATTTGGGTGGTAATTACTGCCCCGACTAAAGTATGTAGTGTGTAATTGTATAGTATTTGAATTATATTAACTACTATAAATAAACCTTCCAGAGTGGTAAAAAATGCAGAAATTTTTGAAAGCCAGTAGAAACAAAATTAGAACTTTAGCAAAAGTCCACATGACCAGAGTTATTAAAGATTTTTCATTAAACTGCATTTCCCCATGCTAAATTTATGACATGGATATTCAAAACATTCAACTCAGAATTTTATGCTTTTTTAAAAATGAAGGAATTTCTAAAGTTTTGATGTTTTTATTCATAAAGATATTAAACAATGTACCAACATATGCCCTTTTTTCATGCACACAGACATATGAAATCACAGGAATCATCTAAAATGATCAAGACATATGAACAAAACAAAAATATCTTGATTAGGCGAATAATGTTTTCACCTTAGGTTAAACAGCATTTGCCATTGGATTTTTAGATGACATCTTCACTCACTGATGCTCACATCACTTCATTCATTTAATAAAACAAAATATTTTATGAAATGAACCTCTGCAAATTTTGCATATAAAAATATGGAACCATATTGTTTTTTGCTGAAAACAAGGAATTATTTCAAATATTGAAATTCTTATTTACACAAATTAAACCTATAGTAACTCCCTCCTATTTAATCAAAACGCTGACCATCATTTATAAAAAAATTTTATCTAAGTAAAATTTTATAGCATAATCTTACCAATAAATTTCTCCCAGTTCAGAATATAGGAGATCCTTTTCATTTTTTTTCATCCACGGAGCGCTGAAAAAGATTCAAGTTTTAATACTGAATATAACATATACATACAAAAAATATACACTCTAGCACACAAAAAATGGCACATACCTAATCTGATATATTGGTGGGGAATCTAATGGATAGCTTTCAGGTAGCGTTACCTAAACATCAGAAAAATATTATGATATTCTAAGCATCCAAATAATATTTAGCTCAGAAAAATATTTCTCAGGACATTAACTGACTAATAAATAACTACATAAAATATGCAGATGTTTGTAACAAAACTTCTGCACACTGATAATCTTCAAAGAGTGTTATCATAAAAACCTGACTTTGCAGCATTCAGCTAAATAAAAAGCTGAAGTAACTGGAATATTGTAGAATTTTATAAACTTTTCCCCCTTCAGAAAAATTAAGCAAATGAAAGACTTGTAAAGCCATTATAAAGCACACACAACACACTATCTCTAAACAGTGTGATAGTGCACCAATAATATATAATCGAGACATCACAATATAACCATAACAGCTTTGCCTTTGTTTTATGTAAGCTAGATTAATTCTCAATTAGTTTTAGTAAAGAAAGATACAAGTAACCTGCTATTTATCTTTTTTTCCCTCACATTATGAAAAATTATTAAAATTTGCTATCTACATTCTACAAAGCAGCATGAAGTGAAGTATTTTCAGTTACAAGATCCTGACATCAAGAAATGTGCGAGTTAATGGGCACGAGATGTGACTTTATTCAAAAATGAATGATCGATGGGGAATGAATGCGAAAAATTACGATACATGATTTCAGTTTTTTTTTATGTGCTATATCAGTAACTTATATATGTTAATTATCTACCTGAGTAAAGAATGATCTGTTCCTTTAAACTTCTGCTGGAATGACTGGTGCAGTTTGGTGACCTCTCCGCTAAGTTTAATGGTAGATGGGATTTTACCATCAAATCAAATGTCTAACTTTGACGTATTCAAGGCCTACAAAATACACTGGTTTTTCTGACTGAAACGTTTTCTCCTTTTCTTTTCTTTTTTAAATATAACATTTTAAAAGTAGGTTTTTGATATTCAATCTAAAACCAAATAAGACAAATGTTTATATAATTTTAGATTGGAAATTTCTTCCTTTCATTTGGCTTTTCAATCATGAATTGTCTTTTTATGCTCATTATCCAGAATTTTTAGGCACCAGCATTCAGCAGTACCTGCATTTTACAACAGTCGAGACTTAATATATTACTCGATGGCAATTGTAAAAAGTTTGAATTTTAAATTACTGATCTTAGTTTCATTACATTTATGTCTAAATTTATGAAGCAGAATAAATTGAAGAAAAATGCTTAAATTAATTTATTTTAAAATGTATTGATCTATTTTTAAAAATTAAAAAAAAACCATTAATTTAATGTGAAAAAATAAAAAGTTGCATTTTAAATACTCGAAATAATTTTTATACCCATAAACTACAGATGCAAAATCATTTGCACAACACTTAATTTCTGTATTCAATTACAGTTACTTAATATACTTTTTTCATATACCATTGAAGAACTATCTGCCCAACCTACACTTCCAAGACTACTAAATATTTGTTTCTTTTGGGTCTAAAATCTGAGCAAGAATAATAGCAAAAGCCTTTTTCCTTGTTTGAAAAAGAAATAAGCAAATTTATTCAAATTCTTGTTTTTAGAAGTACAGTAAGACCCCGCTTAACGCGGGGGATACGTTCCATCAAAGTAGAGCGTAATGTGAAACAGCGCTAAACGAGGCTATCTTAACATGTAAATAATGGAGTTAGGGGAAGATGGATAGAAAATTGGTTAGGTATTAAATTTAATAATGTTTTTTTAATAAAAATAAAACCAAACATTTATTTCTTACAAAAATAAAAACAATATAAACGAATATATTTATAAAAACAAATAAAATTCTAAGCCAGTCAGATCATTCAGTCTATTCTGTGTTTCCAATTTTCTGCCATTTTTTTTCAAGAAGGCATTATGATAGATTGGCTTAATGGCATATTGCATTCAATTTCGTTGTCAATCCATACAGACAATCGTCAATTTTTTTTTCCATATAGACCGTCGTATAATGTTCCATTCTAGAACGGGTAATAACGTTATTTGCAGAAGCTTGGGTACATTCTAGTTGCAGTTGCCGATTGACAGTATTTTTTCTTTATTCTTAAGAATTGTCCTTATTGTTGAAGTTGCCAAATTCAATGCAGCACTAATTTGAGATTGACGTTCACCAGAATCTAATCTTCTAATCACTTGCATTTTAGTTTCCAATGAAATGCTTTTTCTGGTTGCTTTCTTTTCTTGCTTTTTATTATCACCCATGATAAAAACTAAAGATTATAATATTTGTCACTGTATTAATCGTTATAGTATTATGTAAATTTATACTTATAATGTCAACAAATGTCTCAAATGATAAAAATGCTTCCGTACAGCACCTCACCGCACCAAACAAGAAACATAACTACAAAGTTTCGGATATGTTATTTGGAAACCTACCGCTGCGCACAATTTCGAGGAATCCCCGTTGTTCATGCTGCGAGGAATTTCAGGGAATCCCGAGGTTGAAATAAAAGAGCGCTAAACCGAAACAGCGCTAAACGAAACAGTGTTAAGCGGGGTCTTACTGTATATCAAATTCTGCTTTGGATAACATCAACTTTATTCCTGCATTTTGCAGCATCTGTTTTGACTTAATATTTCATGCAAAATCAACACCATTTTAGTTTTTTTTAGCAATATGGTATAATATATATATTAATATATATCTGCAAAAATAATATATTATGTATATATATATCGGCAAAATTTAGAGACCTGTACAAGTCACAGTATTGAAATACCTAAAGTTCCGCAGATGCAGTATATATGAATATTTAACATGCTATTAACACACATTCCGCTCAACATGAATAAATTACTGTTCTTATGCAAATTTCGATTTAATATTAATAGAAATTTAAAGACTATCTTTCATGATCGCTGTCACTAGGAAAGGGGTGTGTAGTGTCACTTCAGTTCCGTCAATTTCTAATTTAGTCAAGGTGGAACGGCAACACGTTCTAGTATCCGCAAAGAACGAAGTAAACAAAGTTCGGTTTTCTATCACACGATTCAACGTGCATGTAAAATGTAAATAAATTTATGAATAAGTATCTATAACTTCGTAAGGAATAAAATATTGGTTCTATTGGAGTCAGAGAAGTGTTATTTTCCTACATTTGCATACGAGACATTTCAATATGTTTTAGAATTATATGACTTATAGCCACAATACAATACTGCAAAAACACATTGTCAGCTATGTTGAACAACACAATCTTTTCTTACCCATATAAAGCTGTAACACAACATTAATATACAAATATGTTTTGAGATATAAATTTTTACACACCCTCTATATTCATCTAATTTAAACATCATTTTACTATTATCCTTTTTTATCATAATTTTTGTAAAACAAAAATGGATTCGTTATTTATAAAAAATAATGAGAAATATTCCAGTTTGGTAAATATTGCCTATCTATATCATGCTGATTTCCACTCTTGCTTCTGTCCATGGGTGGAAAAGTCAATTCATTCACAAAGAAAGGTAGTCAGGTTTGTGAAGATGCACCACAGATGATAAGATTTTCTGCAGTCTTTCCTTTTCATATATCACACAGTACACAAGCAACCAAAAAGCACAAAAAGACACGAAAACTGACAAAATGTTTCCAGTAATTATTAAAAAAAGAATGTCAGTACTCATATGGGATGGGAATTCTTAAAAAACATCCCTTTCTTCCCTAAAATGGGATTCAGACTTTCCTAAAATGTTTCCAACATGGACTCTATCATTGGTGGCTGAATGGTATACGAGTTCCAGAAAAATTACTGAACATACAATTTATATTACAATCAAAAGTCTTTAATCCGGACTCGTCAGGACTTCGGCAACTCCAGATTATCAGGTTTTCCAGATTATAGATCATCAGTTTAAATCTCGTAAGATGGCATGCAGAAATTATAAAATTAAAAATATGAAACCGTAATTTATGAAATAAAGAGCAATTATGATCTAAAGGATATCAAAATTTACAAAAAAAAAAAAAAAAAAAAAAAAAAAAAAAAGCTTAATATTTATTTGTTTACTTTATTAAACATTTCTTTCAACGCGTGCATGCATAAAGCATACGTTATGCAATAGTCGAAATTAGAAAATGGCAACCAGAAAACTATTTGATGTGTATTCGTGATATTTATAATGATGAGGAATTTCATTTAAATATATCAAAGACGGAGTACATCGAGATAAAATACTCCATTTGGTAAGGAATTATAAGCTGAATAAAATAAAAACATCTGCCCTGAAGATAAGGATAGTGCTGACAGATCAACTTCCAGTTCATTGCATACTGCGATGTCCCCCCCCCCCGTACAGCAGCGCGAAATTGATAAACAGATTTCGGAATGGTTAGAGAAACAAAGGATATGCCTTTATCCATTTTTTGCAGCAATTCCCCTTTTTGTTTGATGGACATCGAAACATGCTTTCATTTTGTAGAACCTTTGGCAGCTCCAGAATCAGAAATTCTTTTTGACATAATCAAAAGTTCAAGCTTACTTTTATAAAATTGCTCTAACAGTCTGCAAAAAATAATAATCTGGATCCAAACAGAAAATTAAGAAACAACGCAATCTGCAACATTAACTGATATAGATAATGAGATAATTTTAGCTTAGCTTATATCGTTCGTTATACATTAAACACGCATGCATAAATGTATTACGCGCATGCATAAAGGTATTATGCGCACGCGTCAACGCATGCGCAGAAAGTTTGTAGCTTTGAGGTCCGAATTATGGACATCCGGATTAAAGACTTTTGACTGTATATAGTTCTATTGCTATTATATTCTTCCACTAACTCCATATATGTAGATTATATTGTTCTTTGCTGACAACATCTCATTATGGTATTTATATATTATGGCAATTGCCTTAGAAGAAGTTATCGAATTTTCAAAATTAGCCAAACTCTGGCAGTCATGGACATAATAGTTCTTCTGTTTTGAACATGCAACATCGTCTCTCTCTCTTTTTTAAATGAGTTCTTTTTGTTGCACTCCAAGTTCTAATAATTAACAGAAAAATCCCAAAAATTTGTTATCTTAAAACTAATTTTAAAATATGTGCTTCTGGGGTTTGCCTAAAATAGGAGGAACTGCATTAAAATTTTTACAAAAATACAATACTGTGTTACAAAATCATAAAGTGGAACATTTGCTTTGAATTTACTCTTAAAGTGATCAACACGAAGTTTTCTTCAAAATAAAAAAAAAAAACAGAAACCCACCTTTAAGTGCTTTATTAAAGGTCTTTCAGAACAAACAGGTAATTAAAATGTAACATTTATATGTAATAGTAAATCTGTACAAATGCAATGATTTTTTTTTACTATTACAACTATCATTTTCCTTTGGAAAAAGTTAAAATGAAATCAACAGAGAAAAATATTCATCAAATGCAAAAACAGATAAGTGAAAAAAAATCTTTTCAATACAATATCAAGGTTTTTTTTTTTTTTTTTTTTTGGTGTGTGTGTGTGTGTGTGTGTACTTGTATTCCATCCACACACAAGTTTTATTTCAGTAGGTGCCCCCCCAAAAAAGGGGGGAATAACTTACAAATAAATTTTTGTCTCCAGCACATTAATTATTCTTATATTGGCTTCAGCATTATTTTTAAGGTGTTTGCAATTTCCCGCCCCCAAGATTCTGAAACTTATAGAACAGTAAAACAGAGGTAATTTCTTTAAAATTACAAATACAATATGGTCAAAATGTTGAGAATATTCCAATTCCCACACATTGAAACAGATACTGAAGAAAACGTGTTGTGCATGGGCTATATTCAAAGCACAAACATATTGCGCAAATTTCGTTTGAAATAAGCCATATCCTACATATACAGCAATACAGTTTATTTAAGGCAGCCATACATAATTACCTTTGAGTAGCTCGAGTAAGCAATATTCAGATGATTGCCAAAGTTACCTTAGCACCTACTAAAACCCCTAGTTTCAGATAAGACACAAGTACCAATTTTTCTTCTAGAGATAAATGTTAAGCATGCCGCTGAAGTTGCATAGTTAAAACAAATTTTACTGCACAGTTCTCATTAAAAAAATTATAGCAATTAAAATTTAAGATAAATTAAAAAAATATAGCAAAAGTCTTTAAATTAGATACATAAACTTTTAAGAATATCAAAATATTAAAATCAGCATAATGATAAAGAAGAAAGCACAAATTCACAGTCTTATTCTCATTCTGATAAAGCCTTCATTTCAATAAAATTAATTAATACATATTCAGCAATACATTGATTAAATTTGCAAATTCATGATGCTCTCATATCTTCTTGTGAAATATAACTTTACCTGCAAATACACTGTATTACCAGAACTGTTACTTATTTTAATGCTATAAACTCTTTGCTCATCATCTTCAATAAGCCATTCATCACCAAAAATAGCAGATAAAGCTTGTATTTCATCAGCCTGTAAAAAAAATATATTTTTTTTTTTCAGAAGGAGGCAGCTTACTGAAACAAATAAAATTGTTATTAGAAAAAGGCTTTAGAATTAAGGGCTTTTTTTTCCCCGAAAACAGTTTATTATTGGTATATACAGTACAAAGTCTTTAACTGGACTCGTCAAAACTTCGATTAGGGGTTTTTCTGGATTATACATCATCAATTTAAATCTGGTAAAATGGCATGCAGAAATTATAAAATTAAAAATATGAAACCGTAATTTATGAAATAAAGAGCAATTATGATCTAAAGGATATCAAAATTTACAAAAAAAAAAAAAAAAAAAAAAAAAAATTGTTTACTTTATTAAAAAATTTTTTCAATGTAAGTTGTTTCGTTGCTTCGTTTTATGTGCTAATACTTTCTCTTTAATTCTATAAAGAGACATAATTTCTTGTTCAGTTGCAAAGTTCCACTGTGCAAGTCCTGTAATTGCTGTGCCGAGAATACCGACTAACTTGTCGATCGAAATTTTTTCGTTTTCACTAACCTCTCTGTCACTTTCTTCATGCCTTTATCCATTTTTTGCAGCAATTCCACTTTTTGTTTGATGGACATCGAAACATGCATTCGCTTTGTAGATCCTTTGGCAGCTCCAGAATCAGAAACTCTTTTTGACATAATCGAAAGTTCAAGCTTACTTTTATAAAACTGCTCTAACAGTCTGCAAAAAATAATAATCTGGATCCAAACAGAAGATTAAGGAACAACGCAATCTGCAACATTAACTGATATAGATAATGAGATAATTTTAGCTTAGCTTATATCGTCCGTTATACATTAAACGCACATGCATAAACATATTACGCGCATGCATGAAGGTATTACGTGCATGCGTAAACACGTTATGCGTTTACGCATGCGCAGACAGTTTGTAGCTTTGAGGTCTGGATTATAGATCATTCCGGATTAAAGACTTTATACTGTATTACTTATTTTTCTCACATACATACATCAATTTTCTGAACAGTGATTCATAATGATCAAGTAATATAATTAGTGATCTTAACTAAGTTAAACCATTTTTAAAAAGATTAAAAAATCAGTTTAAAAACTAAATGCTTCAAGTTTGAAATATTTTAAGAAGTAAATCAATCAATTTTTTAATATCAGAATGGCAGTCTAATAAAGCAGTGTGTGCCACCCAGAAACTATTTTTTTAAAGCAAAGTATTTTACAGGTTCCAAGAATTGCATATTTATAACTAATTCCTAAAATTTGGATATGTAATCATACTTTATTGAAATTACACTAATAGTTCAACTTTTATGGAACAATAAGGAATTCAGATTGTTTCACTTCGGCAATCTATACGCATACTCTGCATACTAATCCCCATTTTTATCTAGAAAATTTGTTACTAAAAGAAATTACAAAAATTGCTACTCAATGAAATTTATTCAGAATAACAAATCAATTGAGATTTATTCATAGTTATGTAATGAGAAATTTACTGAATTGAATCATTTGCCAATGTCTATTATTAACTTAAAAATCTTTAGAGCAAACTTAATAAAGCACCTACAAAATAAAAGTAACTCATTTGGGTAATTAGATACTTATTTCACTTATCTTGAGTAACCATCACTAACAATTAAATTTGATATTTTAAGAATATTGATAAATTCTTTCTCTCCAAATTACTACTACCAGATTACTTACTAATTAAGACAGCTTCACTAAAGAACAGAAATGTAGATGATGAGAGTTGTGCATTTCAAATAAAGTAGATTTTTATTTATTTATTTATTTTTATTTTTATTTATATATATATACATATATATATTTGGAGGGTGGCAATGCAAAATGAAGATTCTTTTTGTTTGATATGTTTGGAAATTATTTTGGTTTTGAAAGAATTCCATTTAAAAAGACATTATGATATGAACCATGCTAATTTCAACACTTATGAAGGTCAAGTGAGAATAGGTAAGATACAAAATTTAAGAAAGAGTATATTCATACAACAGGGATGCAGGGCTGTGGAGTCAGTAGGGAGAATGACAGACTCCGACTCCCTCATATATATATGCTAAGCATATACACATGGGTTACAGCTTATTTTTTTAATATAAAAGAAGTAATAGATGCTACAGAAAAAATAAAAAAATTGATGGCATAGAAAATTATTTATATTAATTAGCATTTATTATGACATGGAAAAACTGGCATTAGTTATTTCTAAGAAACAGTATAGCTTCGGCAAGATTGTTGGAGGACCATTCCAATTTGATAAACTTTAGAGCTGAAAAGAGTCTTTCGACACTAACTTGACTTGGAGGAAGAGCTGTTATAGTTAGGGCTACTTCTTTTAGATTTGCCTTAGACTTTTCAATATTATCCAAAAATATTTCTCAAAATCTAATTCATCACTGGAAAAGGATGATAGAGACTCAATTGCAATGTCTGCAGTTTGACTGCCCTGATTCGAATTCTCCAATTGTTCTGAGAATAATTTCATTCTTAATGAAAGTTCAAACGTGACTTTCTTTACCTTTTTAATTTGTTCATCATTCAAGAATATTCAGTGTTTCGGATCTCCATATGTTGAACCCAGCAAGATCTTATTGTCTAGCAAGCTAGTTTCTCTTTTCTTCATTGAAGAAATGATATAAGCCCTCCATTTCAGAAAGAACAAACATCCCATTCTCGGCTCCTGTAAATTCTTCAGATTGCAGCTTTTTTGTGGCTATATACGGTATAGAAAGAAGAGTTTCCAATTCTGCAAGATCATTCCACAGTCTTTCTGTTAGTGAAACATTAGGGTTATCTATATCTTCTAAAAAAACCTCTTTATCATCAAATATGTACTTCGTTATCGCATTGCTTTATCAATAATTGTTCCTTTTCCTGCTCGCTTCCTAAGAACGGCATCAATTTTAGGAGTTCTTGCTGCTATTGATGCTTACCTAAATTTACCAATGAGATTTGTAACTAAATGAATCAGTTTAATCACTAATAGCAAATATCACATCCATCCTCCTCTCTTATATTATTTATTAATAGGTCAATAAAATAGAAAATAACCATTTATTAATGTATACAGTCCATAAATAAAAATAATAACTCAGCTTGTCATTAATTTTTTTCAATTCATCTTAATTTAATTTCAAATTCAAACTATCCATGGAGTCGACCTGTTTTAACGACTTCAGCTTCGACTCCTTTTACCCCAAAATCTGCCTGACTCTGATTCCGACTCCACACTCCTGCAGGGATGCTACTCTGCCTACATTAATGATGTAGCTGACTATATTGTTCACACAAGCTTCATTGTAAGAAAAAAAAAAAAAAAAAAAAAAATGAAGCACTCAAAGCTACATTCTGAACGTACATTCCTTTATCAAGGAATGCCTTACTGCTGTCATTAAATTATTGTGTCCGGAAAAAAGTAATGAAATTGAAAAGATAAGTCTTTTTATCTCAACAGTAGTGAGAAGAAATGATAAAATGGGCAGCAACATAAAATTAAACATATTGCATCAAAATTTGATGCCTGTATGATAAAATACTTTGGAACCATGCAAATTCACAAATATTGGGAATACAGAACTTAATCCTTTACTGTTTGAGCACTCCCACATGTTCCCATTCGTTTGTGCCTTTTTTTGATGCATCATGTGTACAGCACAGGAGTAATTACTTTGGAGAGTTGCATGCGGCCTAAATTGGTCATTTTTTGGATTTCATTTTTAGCAATCTGCAATCTCTCGGAAGCTAATCTCCGAGGCTCAGTGGCGGTTCCTCTACTTGTGCACAATGGAGCACATGTATCTCCAAAGGGAAAAAAAAAAAAGAGAAATACATTTATTAACAAATTAAGTAATATTAAATACTGTTCCAGATTACTTTCAGTTTGAAGGATGAGTTTCTCCCCCTTTTTTTTAAATACACTAATACATAATTAGGTTACTACAGCACAGAGCACTTGGTTTTTTCTCAATTGTATGTGCGATCAAGCAGTTCCCTTGAAAACCAGTTTATGGGGAAAGAATTGGACAGAGGGGCAGAAGGAGAAAGGCATCACTGATACAATTCCATTCACATATCTTCAGTGTGCAGGAGCATGTACTGTTCACAGTTATCTTGTCCAAATTCTCCCTTGGTTTGCTATATTTGGTTACTTAAATTTCCCATTTTCTTATTTTTTTATACACATTTTTTATGCACTAGTGTAACAGTTAAGACAGCAATTCGTAAAATCAGTACTTTCGAACTAAAGTAATTATACTTTTCAATATTGTCTTTAAGAGAAAAAAAATTTAAATGAAATTCTCAGGCAATATCTTTGCTAAGCCTCATCCAGGTGATGAAATGTAAGACTAGAAATTTTAAAAGAGAATTCAAATCCTACTTATATGAGAATCATTTAGGGATGTGTAGATGTGAATCAACCAACAGGCTGTTTCGCTTTGTATGTCTGCGGTTAGCAAAACAGAATGGTGATTTAAGATGGGTGAATTACGATGTTGATTTATTACATCTAACTCAAAAAAATTAATAGGGATGGATACTCACAATCACATTTAAACTCCACCTTAGAATTTAACTTGCAAGAAAAATGGATATTTACCAGCGACTCGACAGTGTACTCCATTTAAAAGTTAAAAGACAAAATGATGAGGTTGCTGAAAATCATTATAACAAAGAAATTGTTATAATAATAATATAATTGCTGTAACAAAAATTACTGATTGCATTCTGCTTTGCATGGCATTTGAGCTTGCACTTCGAGGGCATGATGAAAACGAGGGTTCATTAAATCCAGGAATTTTCTGAGGTCTTATCAACTTTTCAGCAGAAATTGATTCATCTCTTAAAGCCCATCTCACTAGTGCAAATGTTTTTAAAGGAACGTGAAAAGAAATTTAAAATGATTTGTTAGATTGTATGCTCACTATTTGTAAAACTACATAAAAAACGGAATCTTAAAAGTAAGTTTTGTTTTAGTAATAGCAGATGAAA